TCCCGCCTGCCATTTTGGTCATGGGTTCATAGCAGTCGAAGTACGGCTCAATTATAATCACCTAGAGAAAACCAAGACGGGATTTGGCACTTAAGTGACTCAAAGACCGGCGTGCTAATCCATGGCAAGGGAATTCCATTAGTTGAAGTCCATACACCCTTAAAAAGGGGCCAGCATGGGGTAAGTAATTGCCGACTTGACCCAGCGGACCCCAATAACGGGAGCTGAGATTCCTCCTTCAACAAGCAAGCTGAGTGACAAAACCCTGGACCCCCACTTTGCTGAAGGAGGACTGGTACCCCGTTAATTACCTCGTCCCCCTCGTCCACCAGGGCCTGGAAGCAGCAGAAGAGAGCTTCGTACGCCCCCACTGTCACCATCACGTTCTTCAGCGGGTCCAGGTCTCGCTGGAGCAGCTTCCCAAAGAAGCGAGCCAGGATCTCCACCAACCGCGGATGTCCCTGGGGAAAAATAAGACCCAAACAATCCAGGGTCCTTTTCTTGTCGGGACTGAAAGTCTCTTAAGGCTGGGAGACTTTTGAGCAGGTTTTGCACGATGGTGAACTTAGCCATGGTTAAGTTTTGAACCATGAATCAGCTCAGTTGGCTGGGTCTGGAGGCAATCAAGCTTCTGGGCATACGGACAACACCCAGGGAGCTACGTGGCCTTTTGAAACAGACATACAGGCAGTCCTCGACTTATAACCAGCTGTTCGAAGTTACAACGGCACTGAAAAAAGGGACTTATGGCTGGTCCTCACACATACAACCGTTGCAGCATTTCCTCCGTGAACAGAATTCAGCTTGGCAACCGGCATTATTTACAACTTTTGCAGTATTCCAGGGTCTTGTGAACACAGTTTGCAACCGGCTTCTGACCAGCTGGAATTTCAAATCTGGGTCATATGTAGCCCTGCAGAGGTCTGTTGTAATTTTCTACACTCGTAAGTCGAGGACTACCTGTTGGTGATTTATTGGACGTTTGCAAGCTGCAGCTTAAAGTTTGTGAATAAATCACAGGGCCCAAATTTGTTCCAGACAGTTAACAAAAAGCAAAGTTCACCCATTTTTGCACTACACTGTTTGTGCCGGAAAGCGGATGTTCCACGTACAAAAGCCTGCGTGTATTGGTGCAACATGGTGTTTTCTCCGCTGATTGCTTCCATGTAGGCTTTCTTGACAAAATCCGGCGGGGAAAAATTAGGAAAACCCTGACCCAAATTCACAGCCTTGTGAGAAGCAGCTAGTCGAGAAAATTCCACCCTAAGGAGATAAAAATCATTAAAAAAAATTGAGATAAGTTTGTTCTAATGATTAAGGCACCAGGCTAGAAAGCCAGAGATCCTGAGTTCAAGTCCCGCCTTGGCCACGAAAGCCAGCTGGGTGTCTTTGGGCCAATCACCAGGAGACTCTGAGTTTTAGTCCCTCTCTCTCAGCCCAACCCACCTCACAATTGTCCCCTGTTGTTGTGGGGAAAATAGGAGGAGGGAGATGTGTTGGTTATGTTCGCCACCTTGGATTATTGATTAAAAAATTAATAACAAAGGCAGGATATAAATATTAGACCCATGACTGTATATATTAAAATAAAGGTTTTTCATGGAAATCTATTTTTTTTAACAAATAAGAAACGATAATGAGAAGAATGGGATGGTTTTACATTTTTGCAAACATCTTCCCTATCTGACAAATAATTTGGATTTTTGGGGGCACCTCAGAGGCTCCTGGGAAGACCCCAGGGGTCCTCGGGCCACCCTTGACGAGATGCTGGCTTAACCCATGAACCAACCCGAAGAAGCGAATTACAAGCTGCCTACCAGATATTTTGGTCCACGCCTTCCAGCCGCCGAGCTTGAATCGCCTTGGCCATATTTTCCTAGATAAAAAAAAGCAACGAATCATGAATAACTCCAAACCACGGGCTGGCCAATCCCAGCTAAGTCCCTCTTCAGGTAGTCCTCGACTTACAACCATTCATTCAAAGTTACGACAGTGCTGAAAAAAAGTCCTCACACTTATGATGGTTGCGGCACCCCTGCAGTCACATAATCGAAATTTTGGTACTTGGACTGTATTTAAGATGTTGGCATCATCCTGGGTCATGGGGTCACCCTCTGTGATCTTCCCCATCGAACAAAGTCAGTGGGGAAAGCTGAATTCAGTTAACAACCGCAACGACTCACAAAATTAATTAAAAAAAATTGTCAGTCAGGCGTGACTTACTTAACACCTTGCACAAAAATGTCGCCTCCAGTTTTGGTCGTAAATTGACAAATGCCTGTGGTTGTTTTTCCCTTTCTTGCAACTGTAGCTGATCCCCGAAGGCCAAACCAGTGTGTTGTTAACCCTTAGAAAGGAGGCCACTCAGAGATGCAATGGCCAGCCTGAAAAGTTGGAAAAACCTCCCGGAAGAAAATCAGAGCCAAAGAAAATTCCAGAGAAATTCCACGGAACTTCTGGGTGTTGACAAGGGCAATTGTGCAAGCGCCATTCCTTGCGTTGCATAACTCCCGTTTTTCCCACACTTTGGTTACAAGGAAATTTCTCAGGGCTTCGGGGTTTTTTTACTGATTGAGGAAGGAAGAGAGCCAGCAACCCAGAAGAACACAAACACGTGTCACAGAAAACACCTCAGGCACCCAGAACAACCGCCAGCAGCTCACAAACACTCGCTTACACACTTAGAGGAGAACTTCACACCTCCTTTGACGGGGAGAAAACTTCGGAGAAGTTTCACGGCTCTTTCAAGTGGCCTCTGTGGAAACAAAGTCCGCTCCGGTGCAGCTGCCGATTCTTAACCTCTTTACAAGACTTGGGACTTTAGACAAATACTTAAGCAAAAACTGTGACAGACGCAGGTTTTTTTTTCCCCTCTTGCACAACACCGCCCTCCTAACTCTTGCATTTTGCAAATAAATAATAACGTTGTCTTAAATTGATATACCACCCAATTCCCAACGACTCTGAGCAGAAAGCAGTTTCTTATTCCCTGGTTTCCTTCTGAATTTCTACAGGAAAACCGTGAAGAGAAAGCTAGTGCCTCAGGGAGAAAGGCTGCATTTTTCCCCCGATGTGCTATTTCTCTGCTTGCGGGAAATTACAATGCGCAAATCTGAGTAAAGACGGCAGAAAAGGAAAGATTTTTCCCAGCTGCGCCAGTTCTCTGCTTGCATGTGAACCTCATGCTTTAGGCTAGAAGCCTCCAAACTCGGTAATTTTTAGACGTGTGGACTTCCACTCCCAGAATTCCCCAGCTGGAAGTTGAAGTCCACACGTCTAAAAGTTGCCGAGTTTGGAGGCCCCTCCTCGGGGCAACAAATCCTAGTTACTAAACCATGGGCCAGTCAGTTGTGCTTCCTACCTTGGTACGATAGTAGCCAAAATACAAACATGGGGTTCTCCACAGACCATGAATCAAAGGCAGGCCACGACAAGGGCAGCTGGTACTCCAGAGAGCTCTGCACCTTTTTATGCAGAAATAAAACAAATGTTTAACCCTCTGCATTATGAAACCCAAATTAAAATATACGGATTAACCGTCACACTGTCTGAAAATAGTCTTAAGGTTCTCCATTCATTTCCTTTATCGCTAACCAGCCGCAGAGATCAGATTGATAGACTATCCAGCCTACAAAACAATACCCCCAAAGGAAAAACAAAAGCTGGCTTAGAGTGAAAAATGAGAAAAAATAATAAACAGCTTAAGAGGAAACAATGCAATCAAGCTTGATCTGAGCTGTGTAAAATCCAGATAATCTCAAGGTGAGAACGAAAAACCAGAATGTTTGTGAGCTTTTCCAAACTCTTTCATCTGTCACCCAGATTATTGCAACCAGCCCTGAAAAGCCTCAACAATGTTACCGAGTTTGCACAACACACTTCTCCGGTAAATTAAACTTAATTATTTCTTCTCAGAATGGGCTGAAACAGGCTTAACCTGGGTTAGCTTCTTTGGGGGTTAAAGGTTTGTGTGCTGAGTTCATGTCTGGTCACCAACCCCTTTTTTCAATGAGAGAGAGAGAGGCCTTTTTACAACTACACAATGATTCAACTCAACCAAAAATCTTTCATTTTTGTTCCTGTTTCGAGTCTGAAAGCCAGAATCAATTTCTCAATGGAAACAGGACGGAACAAAATCTTCTCGTTGCTTAAAACAGTTTACAGGGGCATCTCAGCCAGATTCCTTTGTTTTCCACCAAAGTGTAAAGTGATAGATCTCCAAACTCAAAGAGCACCAAGGACAGCCCTCTTCAACTTTCAGCTATAATAGTTCTCTTCGGTTAGAAGTACATCTATCACTCCACAGACCAAACTTTGAAAGAGGATTAGTTCAGCAACCGTCTGACAGCAGAGGTGGGGAACCCTGCCCGACAGCCACAACTAGCAAGAAGAAACCGATGCCACAAAAAAGTCAAAAGAAACTTACAACTTTGCTTTGTCACAACACAACATCTATCATGCTTCCTGGTTTGAGCCCAAAGCAGCTTCTTCTAACAGCTGATTCATTCCCCTTTTCCGGTGGAGGGATAAGGGAACTGCCAGCCAACCAGAAAACCTGCTGGCTGCATTTAAAAATGGGCGTGAGACAACCAGGCGCCTCTATTTGGCGCATAAGCTGTGTGAGCTGCCACTGGCTGGCTGGATTGCAGGGGGGCGTGTAAGTACTGTATGTGTGTATATGCGTCTTCTGTTTGTCCACAAATCAGGGTTTGGACAATTTCAAAGCGCTGGCCATTTAATCCAGGTTGTTCTCTGTTGGTGAAACTGCCAGCTGTCACTTTTGCAAAAGTTGCACCCTAGTTCCCACGTTGTAGATCATCCTACGTCATCCTATATTATCATCTGACTGAGGATATTACCTAGTTGGGTAAAGAAATGTCTGACTGATGAATGAATGAAAATGAATGAATGATGAACACTGGTGATGTTACCGACTTGGGACATGAAAGGTCTGCAAGAAAACAACCAAGCTCAGAGAGCACCAAGGATCCCACAGTCCTCCTCCTCCTCCTCCTCCTCCTC